ACATGAACTACTTGAATGAGCCACCAATGGACTACCCTAAATGTAAACCCCTAAAAGTTTAAAAATCAGTTTGTCTGCTTATGTTCCAATCTTCTAGGAACAATTTTTAAACGTCATCGCTTCTGCTTGCATTGCGTGCCGTTTATTTAAAAATACTACCAATTGATGTTTAGTTCATCGGTTACTAAGACAGAAGAAAAATATGGGCGAAAAAAGAAAAAGTTCTCCCAGGCGGGGAATCGAACCCCGATCTCCCGCGTGACAGGCGGGGATACTCACCACTATACTACCGAGGATTTGACGGACAGGACTACAATTTGAACATAACGTTTTTTACACCAAGTGTTTCGACTTTTCTCGTAGCCTGAGAACAGCTCTCTTAAGACGCAGCATTTTTAATAGAAGCTGTAAAGCTTACTGATGATTCAGTAGCTCAAGTATGTCCCTATAAAATAAAATACGATACATACGTGGCAATAGGATATAAAAGAATGCTTATTAGAATAGCGACATGTCGGCACTGTGCTAAAGAATGACAATAACTAGCTTTCAAATTTTTTCATCGCTTAAAAAATTTTTATTACCAGTCGATGTTTGGTTTCTTCGGTTTTGATAGAGGAAAAACAAGAAACAGTGAGGAAAGAAAAAATTCTCCCCGGCGGGGAATCGAACCCCGGTCTCCCGCGTGACAGGCGGGGATACTCTCCACTATACTACCGAGGATTTGATTGTAAACCAGAAATGCCACAATTGAAGTTGTGATAAGTGCGGAGAATTTGAATCCAGGACTACCGCGGTCTGACTTCTGACTCACCCTTCAAATGGAGGCACAGAAACTGATGACGATAATGAGTGGAGTAAAAGAAAAACAGCACTTGTCAAACTACAATGAAGAGACGAAGACCTACGAAAAAGGTGTCCCAGTTTAATAAAAATGAAAAAACTCAGTGTTGAGTGAAAACTAACTTATTTCGATTGCATCCACACGGCGTACTTTCGGTGTACTTTCCGAAATACTTGTAACAACGTAACCAGTTTCGAAAGTTTTTTCTGAAAAAATTACATTATTTTCTATCACATTTCTTTTAACTTAAAGACTATTTAATTTTTAACAAAATACCACAACGACCTTTTAAAATTTTGGTAATTTTTGCTTTCTATTTCAGTGTCTTTAACTCAATATTCCTTGAGCCTTAAGTTTATCGATCAGCTCCTTAACAGCGTGTTCAATGGCACCTTGTGTACTTTTATAATGTCTTGCTTTAACACTGGTTCCACTCTCTATATCCCAGGCTGTTCCCTCGTACTCCCACTGAAGTTTGTCAATGCGACCTTCTGCTTTGTAGTTAATAACACGGCCCTTGAAATTCAGCTGGAGATATAAATTGAACATGGGAAATCAAATAAAATTAAAGCAATATTGAAACTGAAATTTTGTCCCAAACCGCCTGCGCCCCCTTAACTCACCGAAATTGCTGAAAATATTTTTATGAGGTCTCCATCATTTAATTTCAAGCCGATATTACAACGCGCGAGTTCAAACTAGCAACACCCAGAACCGATCGTGAGGTCATATCTTTTAATTTGTCAGACATAATTGAACTACTATGGCATATGTTTTGTTTTAACGGAGGGCGAAAGTTATAAAATGGAACATGGGTTTTTTCCCGATATTTCACCGAAAATGAAACAAAATCAACAACAAGCTGTGACGCGTAAGCGAAAATTAATGAATTTCAAAGCCTCAAAAATGTACCTCAATAAAGTTTAGAAGTGCATAAACATTTCTGGGAAATAAGGAATAAGTGTAAATGATTTTAAAAGGTTTCGTTACAAGTCATATATGTTTTCACCAAACATCAGTATGTTTAATTTATCGTAGCAGTGAGAAATAAGTTTGTTTCTGAGCTGCATAGTCTAGTCCCTCGATTTCTGCGATGTGGAATAAATATAAACAAATACTCAAACGATGGGCAAATGAATGACCCTTGGATGCTTGCTTGCTTATTTTCAGCAACGTTCCTGTGTTCAGGAATAATAATGGCCGCAAACTTATTGCTTCTGTAGATTATGATAGAATGCAGCTGGCTTAGCTGAATAATTGATCGGCAATCTGTTGTCAACATTCGAGATTTCATTCGTTATTGAATTTTGTCGTGTGACCTTGGTTGAAGTAGTCATACTGTTAGAAGTAATATGTAGATTTTCCATTCAAAGATTTTCATACCTTCTCAGCCATGCGTGGATTACAACCGAAACTAATAACTAACCTGCCCAGATGCACCAGTGACATTTTGTAGAGCGGAATACAAAGTTGCAACATCTTGAATGACATTCATGTTGGCAATATCTGGTATAAATATATATCAAAACTGAAATTAGTTTTAAAAGTATGATTATTATTCAAATGGAAGTAGGTGATACTACAAATCCTTGGGGCAAAATCAAGACTGACCAAGTGTTACGTGTAAAGCTATCTTCTGTCTCGTCCAGCGTCAAGTCTTGGAATGGATAACATCCCGATATTCCCGGAAATATAACGAGACTTCCATTCGGAAGCACCCAGACCTCCTCAGGATCAAGACCCAAATCGAAAGCTGACTTCATACGCTGGGACTTGTCCCAAAGTGACACGTCACTATTCATGTGATCTGCGTGTTTCTTTGTAATTCGGTTGGAAGGGACTTCACCCGAGGTCATTGCACAGCAAATGGACAACAAATCAAACCAATTTGATGCGATAAGAATAGTCACACGGACCAAACAATTTTTTTTGTCTACATGACAAGTTTTCATTCGCTGGGTACTTGAGAGATCTTGAGAAATTCAGATGCGTGCTATAAGGGCTTGATTTGAACCTTGCATAGTTTTAAGCAACAGCAACCTGAATTTTTAAGTTAAACGATAAAACAAATTCGTTTCACCACTTCCCAGAAGTAGGAAGAAAAAGTCTGATTTAATTTTGGCCTGTTTAAAACTTAGTACTAGCTAGGTGAAACATTGCGCCTTTCACAATTGCGTGACTCGTTTGACTTGGCTTGTTTATTTTTGTAGCCTTTTGTCAAAATAAGAACTAGTCACGCGAGTCAAGATCACGCAAACTTCCGCGCAACTCTGCACTTCCGGCGTGCCAATTTCTCGGTATCTGCGACATCAAGCGACAGTAACTCTGCCTACCACCATGCTTGTACTGTATCATGATTGTTGATCGTGCCACAGTTGGTGTCCAGACTCTCTCTTCAGATTCTAGTATCATGGAACAGCGGCATCAATTCTCTATTTTCCAATTGCCCATAATTCACTCTGTTTGCCGCCCAAATTTTGCATAATTTATTGTTGTGAATTGCCCTTGGGAGGTCTGCATATTTTCAAGAGCATTTCACAACAATAGTTTATGCATAATTTGGGGGGCAAACAAAATGAATTATGGGCACTTGGAAAATAGAGAATAGAATGTCTACAGGCTCCCTCGCTTCGATCGCGCTCGCTGGGAGCCTGTTCGTAAGGTCTGGGGAAAACTTAGACATGAACATTTCAAATGGATTTATACAGGGTAGACCTTGTTTACGGTCTCTTCAAATCACACGGCTGATGGGTCCTTCTTCATGGTCTGTAAAGTCCTGCTCAACAACCTTGAATTTTAGACTCTCTTGCTGTTTTATTCAAAGTATTCCTCTTGAATAATCAAGAAACCTTAACTCACGGGACTTAGTTAGGAAACCACGAAGACCACGACTTACATGTTATGAAATAAAGTTGAAACACTGTCTGGAGTTATTTTAAAATTCGACTTCAGTTTGTTATTATCCCATTAGCTTTGAGTTTATCGATCAGTTCCTTGACAGCGTGTTCAATGGCTCCGTGTTTACCATGGTAATGTTTTGCCTTGACTGTGATTCCACTCTCCACATCCCAAGCAGTCCCATCGTACACCCACTTTAGTTTGTGCACTCTTCCTTCTGCTTTATAGCTGATCACCCGATCCTTAAAATTCAGCTGCAGAAAGGAAAAATTAAGGAAAAGAAAAACAATGAAATTGATTTCCTGATTACTCGAGTAGCTATGCCAAAGCACTGACGAATGAAAAATTCCCACCACTTCTCACCCCCTCCAAAAAAAGCCGACCCTTCCCCTATACAAATCCTACAAACCTCCCCAAAAACCAGCCCCGGACTTCCGTTGCGGCTATACGTAGTATGGACTATGGGGAGAATAAGTACCGAAAGTGACAGTTCGGTACAAATCAATTTTTACATGAGGTATTTTACGGCCAATCGCATACACTTGATTTTACGATGCATTTATAAAAGTCCTCAGAAACTTGTGATTGCAGTTAGTAAGAATGTACAGATTAAACCATGGTATTATTACAATGTATATATACATATGCACATTTTAACCATGCTTGTTGCTGTGTATGTGACTTTGTCAGCATAATTATTCTGTTATTTCCAACCTTTCAACATCTTCTAAGCGAGAAACAACACGCACCTGCCCTGATTCACCAGTTAATAGCAGAAGAGCAGAATATAACGCTGCCAGATCCTGGATGACTTTCATCAGGTCGCTGCTCGTTGTCTGTTGGACCGAAATAAATGTTAGACATTTCCAAACACAGCGGGCCCAACATAAACTTCCATTACACATTTATCTGGCTGTGGTTTAAATAAAGTTTTGCAAACTGATGGCTAGAGAGCAAATAAATAAGTTCAGACATTACCTTGAGAAGAGTGTCAAAAATATTTTCAACAAAGACGTACGACGGAAGCTTCCGCGATGCTTGTTAAAAGAATATGATCGAAAATAAAAGCGGAAGTCGCCTTTTCACTCGTCTTCCGACGCCCGCGCTACTCGCGGCTCGCGGCTTCGTCGCTCGCCGCTCGCATGTCACGCTCGCAGTCAAGCTCGCGCGCTCACTTGTTTTGCGTTCTAATTTTTTTTCTTCCCCAGGGGTTTTTGAGCAAAAGAGACACTCCTCGCAGTCTACCTTAGACACTTTGGTGATTCGGTCCCAGTATTCTGACAAGAATTGTTGCAAGACAATATAATTCTGTACTTCTTGAATTGCTAAGACAATGTTATGTGACTCTAAAATGAACATGCGCAGCCTTATTCTGTGCAGAGTGTGGTAACAAATTGAGGATTCCCGGCAAAAGTGGTTAGGAAAGTCAGAACTTGTCTTCGTATAGAAAAAGATCTAAAAATGCATAAATATGACCGAAAAGGATGCTTACAATGTGTCTAAAAAACATCAATTAAACACTAGCTGATCTTAAGCTTTTCAAACTCTCTTTAAATGTCAGTTAAGGTGGCTCGTACCAGTTTTCAGGGTTTTGACGGCTCATAACTTTGTAAGAATAGAGCAAAAAGACAGACCAGGGCCACTGTAATATTTTTGAAGGTTTGGATTATATAATTTATACTTGACCTAAAACAGCTGTTATTTTGTCGTCAGCAGTTACCATGGCAACATTCCAAAAGGATTTTCCAGGCCTGATTTTTCGCTTATGTCACTAATAACTCAAAAA